TTGTACAACTATTTTATACGGCATATTTGCACGTTAGTCAAAATGGTTGTGTTGTGGCATCCATGGTAACGTTTAGAAAACAAACCCGATCATTGTTATTTTGCTGTGCATATTACTAGTTTAGCCAACAGATTGCTCCCAACGGAAGCACTTATACAACTGTTGTTTAGTAACTGTTAAAGGCTGTACATATGCTAAATATGTTGGTATACAACTTCACCATAACCTTACTTTCTGCTGTCATATTTTTGTTATGTATATTGGTTCAAAAGGTTTTATCAACTGTTCAAACAGAAGATATAGATCTGGTACAAATTCTGGGTAAATCATTCGATTCTGTCGATATTTCATTTGAGACATTTGTCAAATTGTTGTATAACACCTGCAGGCAACACAAAAATATTCTAATAAACTAAAGACAACATGGACGATGCCATGATTATACCCAACCACCCGCCATATTGGACAAACATTTATTCCTGTATTTAATATTAATTAATAATGTTTCTGTTCGAAATTACAGATATAAAGTTATAAACATTAGTGTAATTGTGTCTAAATATAGGATTTGTGCAAGATTTGACGCAGATAGGTTCAGTTTTCCATCTTAAAAATCTAGACATACTTTTGATCATTATCAAAATATGCATCAAATACAAAGCCCGTAGAAATTGCGTAACTAATTTGCACTATAATCACAATAAAATTTACTGCGCAAGTAATTCAATAGCCCTATATCACAGTGTAGAAGTTTATCATATACCTGTGTATGAAATTCACAAGGCCGATATGTAAGTAATCTTGTTTACTACTGTAATGTGTTAGTTATATATTCTTCACTTCGCCTATGCAATACATAAGAAATAGTTTGGTTGCAATAAAGTAGAATCACGTAACAGAGTAGTTGTATAGCTGACAAAAACTGAATCTTGCACTGACGCAAATGTTCTATAGCGGCTGCAAGAGGCTTACACTTTTGTTGTATAACTGTTACTTGCAGCCCTTATACAACCTCTTAAATGACAGAAGTGTCCTATTAGGTGTGCCCATTCCGCTTGTATAGCTGTTCTAAGAGGATTTTGCCAATGTTCTTACAGTATACAATGCTGTGTAAGGAATACTGTATAATAGGAGTGATAACTGCTAGTTGGGCGTTCTTTCAGAAGAGTTATCTCAAAGTCCATTAGAACCATATAGAACCATGTAGAAGTAGTGTCTAACTTGAAGGGTAAGTTCAAAAATCGTTTCAAGGATTTCAACGAAATTCCTACAGTGGCGCAATTTGTCGTTTCACCCTTCATGGAAATTGATATCCAACAGTTTGAAACTTCTGTTACGCAGAATTATAGCGAAGACATCGCTGCGACAGAAATGGAAGTGATTGCGTTTCAAAATGATTTAACCTTAAAATCATTAGTCTCGAATACAAAATGTATCTGGCCTTCAGTAAGTGAAGATAAATATTCAGTTTTATGTCGAGTTGTTTCAACCTTTGTCTGACTTTCTGTTTCAAATATGAAGTTTATTAATAACAAATACCGTAATCGACTTACTCCAAACATTGAAAAAATGTCAGTGAGTCTGAGTGTCAGGTTATTCATTGACTACGGATTTTTTACCCGGACATGTTTTTGTTTAAAATAGTGCCTTGCTTTCTTTATTTTTAGTTACCTTTATTAAGTCGTATAGGACATGCCATTGTAGCTGACGAAAAACTTTATTTATTTTTCAAACTCATACGATTGGATTGGATGGATGCAGTTGTGTAGTATGTATTAGTTATTAGTTTATTTAATTTAATTAGTATGTATTAGTGTTAGTAAAATAAAGGCATGTATGTCGCATACAACTGTGTATAATTTCAATTAAGTTCGCTTACATTGCTTACGACTAGGTAGCTTACTTTTTATTTCAAAATCATCAAAGTAGGAAAGTCCACGTAGTCTGCGGCCACCTTTAACCGATAGCGCATTTCACTATCGTTTTATAGTTAATATAATATACCTAATTGATAAGGACCCTTGCGGCGTGCGTATATACAGGTACCTGTAGACGTTATCTTAATCCATGTAATGCTTCGACGGGAAAATACCACAAAATATATGCTGCCGTGTAGAATTATGGCATTATTCATATCCAAACGGTCATACTGCGATTTGGCATGGAATATACGTGTAAGTCAATAACACTATCGAGCCTGATGAAGGAAAGAAACTATAAGACGGTGGTAGCAAAGATTGACTCGTAGTCTGGATTAACCAGAACTCCATACGTTTTGATTTATATCAGAGATAACAGTTGAGCGTTAGATAGAAGACTGATGACAAGCTAACACTCGTGAAAAATGTTGTTGCCTAGGTAAGCAACCACTTGGTACTCCTATAGTATAACTATCTAAAACTGTAATGACTCATCGATGTTCACGTGAACATCATTTAACTACCAGTAGTCGGCTGTTCATAGGCGGGGTATGAATGTTTAACATGGATGAACTAGATTTGTCACATGCTTGTTTGAAACATATTGTAAGTCAAAAATTTGGGAATTACCTTTATTCATCGTCGCTTCCACTTACATCTGACAGTAATAAACTGTCGCTATCGCTTTCCTCGTTGAAATTGTTTATAACTGGCTCTATGATGGTGTCGATGTGGTGGTCAAGCTGCCACATTTTTGTTTCTTCCTTCACAACATGACGGATAGCATTCTGCCAAGCTTCGGGCGTTACTAGCTGTATGGAAGTCTCAAGTAAAACCTTAACGTCTGGTAATTTGAAGGTTGTGTTATGGCGCGCAATATAACCCTTCACTTGAGCCCAGATGAGCTCTATTGGGTTCAGTTCATCGGGCGGTAACCGCAGCACAGTGACAACACATTGACGGACCATCTCATCAGTCACGTAACTAATGTTCGCAGGTTTGTGCTGTTTAATTTTTTCATAAAATTCCGCTTTCACACATGAATCGTCAAACGGGATTCCTTTTTCGCGTAACCATTGCTGCGTGTCACTTTTTCGAGATCCCATAGTCGGTACACGTTCCGCTCGACGACTATGGTAGGAAGCATTATCCATGACGATCACAGAGTTGGGCTCAACTCGCTGAAGCACCCCTTGAAACCAGCTCTCGAAGCAGCTGGCATTCATTTCGTCATGGTAATCACCTCCTTTCTTAGAGACGAAAATCAATTCACACTCTTCTAAAAAGCCACTATCGCTACCAATATGAGTTACGATCAATCTTTGACCTTTCCCTGACGGTCCACGAAGACCTGTTGACAAACCTTCAATGCTTGCTTGTCGGTTACTCACTACGTTTTTGTCTATCCAGGTTTTTTAACCGTGTGACCTGCATTTACCCGTGTCTCGTCCAAATAATAGATTTTTCTGCTGTCGCCTATATTCAATCATTTCGCGTAGGTATTTTCGACGCCAGGCGACTATTTCAGGTCTCTCTATCAATACTGACTTCCGATTACGCGTTTCGTAACGAAAATTAATTTCATGCAGGGATTTCCTCATTACCTCGACGCTCATTTGGGGTATAATTTCATTTTCCTTGATCGCTGCATGTACAGCCTTGAGGGTTGGTATCTCATTCCTAAAGAAGAATGAATGTACGGTTCGCCTTAACGCCGTTTTGCTATCGTCATCCAATTTAACGGCCTTTCGTCCCTTCAAATTAAACTTTGGATCAGTAGAAGCTCCAGTTTTCTTCTTTTCATGCACCACCCTGCGAATGGTCCACTCTGGAAAGCCTGTCATACTTTCACAACGCGCGAGTGCATCTCCCTGCGACATAGTTCTGTTCAGATAATTGAACACGTTGAGCACGATTTCTTTCGCGTCCCTCTTCAGTGCTTTACGAAGCCGTCTACTTGTTCCCTGGCTTTCAGTACTTCCACTCGTGCCATTTGTACTCTCCATGGTTAAGTATAACCAAAACAGTAACCACAGAAACCACAACAATAACAATCACACAACAATTCTTATAAAAAGACACAATATGCGATCGCTCAACGAAACACGTTCCAATGCGTTGCCGACGCCTATGAGTCTGCCGGTCGAGGCGCGTCTTTGATTTCATTGGTTCTACCGGCGGAGAACAATCAGCCATTATTTCCATCTCTGTCTGTGCTGTTGACCACCGCAAAGCCACAGAAACGACATATGTCGTACGCTATACGGCTGTACTGGAAGGAAGCCGGGATCGAGCTCTGATCACGTGTTGATCACGCGTATGAGTCATTACAGTTTTAAATAGTTGTAGTATAGACACGATCGCTTACAAACAGCTTCAAAGTGTACATCCGGTTTTAATCGATGACCAACCTTTGCCAGAAAGCCGTGAAATCCAGACAGCAATTAGGACACACCTCCGCAATTTGTTTAGAGTAAGGAATTCCTTTTCTCCGTATAGCTCAGCTCTGATAATCCATATAGACCAACGCTGTTTAGATAAGGGCTATCCTACTGATCGGAGACACTTTCATTGTAAACCGTCAAACTCGTTTGAGCTCCAAGAACTGTCCTGTACGACCGCTTCTCTGTGCCTGGGGTTCCAAAAATGTGAAAGAGTCTGGTAAAGGAGGCTATTCTTAGTTCTAAGTTCTAATTTCAAGCAGTTCAAGGATGCTACATTTGTTTTTTTTTTTCTTCCGTATTTTGGGTGCTCTCATTATAGTCATAGCTGACGACTGAGGAGTCAACCTGATCTGAGAAATCCTTGCAGGGTCGCCATGTAAAGAATTTGTAGTCTTGGGCGGTATGTGTAATAATAGTAAGTGGAACATTTCATTTAATCGTTCTACTTAGTTACAAAAAATACATGATACCTGATTATATTTAGAGCCAAAATACAGATTTTCTGTTTCTTTCGTATATGAATTTTGTAACAAACCTGCAATTACTAGTAATAGCCTTCGTAATGCTGTAGCGATGACGCAAATACCACAGCGTTCGCTAGCCCGGTTTGCGCAGAGTATAGGGTTTCGTTAACTACCTCTGTTCTGGCCGATTAATCACAACAACGATATTGGATATCAGTTTACACTCGTTTCGGATAGGCTTTCTCTCTCCACAATCACCAGGCAGTAATCTAATAATAATTAATAACCTTTGATCAAATTTGAGGTTCATCAGCATCACTCGACTTTCAAGCGCCGAACAATGCAGCTCCAACGGTTAAAAGAAACATTATGTTTGATTTGCCGCTATAAAAATAGTCCTCGCCCTTAGACTTGATTTTACTCTTCGTCTGCGCGGGCCCCTGGGAAGTAAATCCCACCTATCAGAAGGCGGTTTTGAAGTAAGGAATCTAACAAATACTGTCGATTCTAAAACATCTTCAAGGTAGCGAAAAATTCTACGATTACGATACGATAATCACTTAGTTTATCTATAAAAGCCTACTTTTTCATTCGATTCCATTAGGAGAAATTGCTCCTGAGAACAAATTCTGCCAGTTTGAAACCAGTACTAAGTCTACGTTGTAAATAGTAAAATCAAATTAAAGATAAACGTGAATACCTGAGAAATTATAAAAGGGCATATCGAACCTTAATTTCAAATATTCAACAACCTCCTAATAACATGCCAGCTAACAATTATGAACTAAACCCTGGATGTTTGCCATTGCAGTACAAGATATTATTTAAAAAATTCTGAGACATAAACTAAATCACATAATGACCGTTCCTTAACAAATGTTCAATTAATTCACTTGACTATCCCGCAAAATAATCTTTTTTTCCAACATTTTATATCCTCAACACGTATTAAGAGCTAGTTGATGCCAGATAAGTTCCAGCTCATTCCAGATCATCAAGATCCTGTAATACCAGTTGTTCGTAGTGAACGAGTGAAGGAATGATGAACTAACGGGTGATTTTTTTGCTAGTATCTTTTTGGCAACACTGTTTTTAACTGATGACGCGTGAATCGTGTCTTGTGTCATTGTCAAACTTGTTCAGTTTGGTCCATAATTTAACCATGAATCGATTTATGGGCAATTTGATCGGCCTACTGAGGGAGCTATTCGGAAGCTTGTGACTAAATTTTGAACCCAGTTTACATTATTGGACATTAAACTACCAACGCGCAGACGTAGAGTGAGGACTCAAGAAAATATTGCGGCTGTATCCGCCAGTGTTAGTGATGACCGTGAAATGTCGATTCGCCGCCGTTCGCAGCAATTGGGCCTCTGTTACTCCACTACGTGGAAAATTTTGCGACAGGATTTGGGTGTAAAACCTTATAAGATACAGCTGGTGCAAGAATTGAAGCCACACGACCTCCCACAACGTTTCCAATTTGGTGAATGGGCGCTGGCAAAGTTGGAGGAAGATCCACATTTTTATCGAAAAATTGTGTTCAGCGACGAAGCTCATTTCTGGTTGGATGGGTACGTTAACAAGCAAAATTGCCGCATCTGGGGTAAAGACCAGTCAGAAGCATGGCAAGAGCTACCAATGCATCCCGAAAAACTCACTGTTTGGTGTGGATTATGGGCCGGTGGCATCATCGGGCCGTACTTCTTCAAAGACGACAATGGCCGGAACGTAACTGTGAATGGCGAGCGCTACCGTGCGATGATAACACACTTTTTTTCACAAAATGGAAGAGCTGGACTTGGCTGACATGTGGTGTCAACAAGACGGTGCCACATGCCACACCGCACACGAAACAATGGCCCTACCGAGAGGCGAGTTCGGTGCACAGTTTATCTCACGTTTGGGGCCCGTTAATTGGCCGCCTAGATCGTGTGATTTAACGCCGTTGGACTATTTCTTGTGGGGCCATGTTAAGGCTAATGTCTACAGGGATAAACCAGCAACGATTGACGCACTGGAAGCCAATATTGAAGCATTTATTCGTGAGATACCGGCCGATATGTTGGAGAGAGTGTTCCAAAATTGGACCTTGCGCTTGGGCCATCTAAAGCGGAGCCGCGGCCAACATTTACATGAAATAATCTTCAAACATTAAATTATATCGACCGTTCTATCGACTCAAATAAAGATTTAATCGTTTTTTCAAATTTTTTGTGTTTTTTTTGAAAATCCAATCCTATACCTCTTAAAAAATCACCCGTTAGTTCTCTTAGCTCAGTCATAAGGATCGTTCGATTGGAATAGTTTGTTTGAGATCTACACACCACTACACATCATGCATATAGTCTAATCGTATTAGACGAAAATACCCCTGGTTTGAGAAATAATTGTAAAGTCTGGTTTTATTGGAGCAAGTTGTTCAAGGGAGTATTCAAAACACGGACGCATAAAATGGGTACACCAATTTATGTGGGAAAACTTTTTATTCGACAACTAAGAATGATAATTCCTAATTGCTTATCCAAAAGCACCTGTTTTCCAGCCATCACTACTAGTTTATTGAGCAATATACAGGGTTAGTTCAAAGGGAATTTTATAGAAAAATACACTAGTTTACCTTGCCGATATGAATCGCAAACCATTCCGGAAGATAAATGTTATTTTTATGCAAAAAAGGATGGGTTACGTTCTTTCTTCTAAACAAATTCAAACATTTCATATTTGTGAGTAATTCGCAACAAAAGATGATAGACACATCCGCATCCACAAATACGAAATGTTTGAATTTGTTTAGAAGAAAAAAACGTAACCTTTGTTCTTCGCATAAAAATAACATTTATCTTTCGGAATTCATATCGGCAAGGTAAACACGTGCATTTTGATATTGAACGCTCTATGAACGAACACTGTTATTGCTAAATAAACTAGTAGTGATGGCCGGAAAACAGGTGTTCTGGGATAAACAACTAGAAATTCCCAAAAAATTACTTGACCAATATAGGCCAATTTTGTTATTGTTATTTAGAAGTATGAATCCTACGGATTTAAGAAATTTAAAGTAGTTTTGTCGTCGCATCACCAACAAGTGCCAAAACCTGCATTTGCCTCGTTTTCCGGCCATTACATTTGTTTTACTTGTGGTGTCATTTGTTAGGTCTCATAAGTACCTAAAAATCTTATATGAACAGTTTTTTCGTTCCTGTTAACACTTTCGATTGAATCCCAAAAAACACGTTTTCTCATTCTTTGTTGTCAAATAAAAAGTTTTCCCACAAAAATTGGTATACCTATTTTATGCGTCCATGTTTTAAATACACCCTTGAACAATTTGCACCAATAAAACCAGACTTTACAATTATTTCGGGGAAATTTGCTAATATGATTAGACACATACAGTCAGATTTGGCGGTAGACTGCTCTTACATTATACGGCAATTCAATGGAGATGTTGATGACTTTTTAAAATCATTTTGGGTAAGTAGTGACACTACTATTTTCAATAAAATACTCGGTAACTGCTTACATATCAGCCTGAGTATTGTACCAAGTTTGATTCATGGTGTGAGCAGGGTCGAACTTGCTATCCTAGTAGCAAATTTTGCTCTCTCGATCAAAGGAAAAACATAGCGGCAAGTAGACTGACTCTGTAGTTTCAATGCAACGCCGTCATCAGTTTATAAATGATAAAGTAAAACCCTCTGGAAAAAATAGTTGAGAACATGTACAACAGAGAAATTAATCCGATCAATACATTCAAACAGACCCATACCGCGGCACGAGCAGGACAATCAAACAGATCGTTACGCCGCGCTCTGAGACCAGATAGCAGAAGAGGACGCATATCGAAAACATTTCTCTACCGTAATATTTAACGACAAGTGAATGCGGGAACCTAAGCCACGCCATATTCCACGTATGGCCAACAGATTCGTAGAATACCGGAGCGGGGAGCATATAAATATACTAACAAAAAAATTGATATATATGTATATATATGTACCTTCTCCCACCCCCTACCAAAATGATCGGGATTCTCTGAAGCGTCAAAAAGAAGATTTCAGCGTTATTTAATTTCTGCCTGTTCTTCCGCCACCGATCTTCAAAAACTACAAAGCTTTTTCATCCTTGGCATAGTAGAAAGCTTGTGTAAAAGTTTCATTGATAAATGAAGGTTGGTTTATGCCATTTGTGTATGAAAAATAGCATCAGTCATGTGACCACCGCGGATTCGTTTATAGGCCAACATCGAAACATCAAAATTTTCAATGACTTTTCCCAGAATAATCGGGTCTATGGCCGCAATTTCAGGCCGAATATTGCGCTTTAGGTCTTGAATTGTCCGGGGACCATTCGCATACACTTTTCCTTTCAAAAATCCCCATAGAAAATAGTCAAGAGGTGTTAAATCGTACGACCTCTGGAGCCAACTGACATCTGAATTTCGTGTAATTATGCGGTCTTGAAATTTCGTCTGCAATAAGGCGATTGATTGGCGAGATGTGTGAGCCGTTGCTCCATCTTGATGAACCAAAGATCGTCGGCACCAATACGATCCAATTGTGGCCACAAAAAGTCTGTTTACATGCCGCGATAATGTTCCCCGTTGACGGTAATGGCCTGTTCTTCGGCATCTTCAAAGAACGATGCCACCAGCCCATAACCCGCACCAAACAGTCACTTTTTTAGGAGGGAGATATTGTTCATGATATTGGTGTAGATTTTCAGCCCCCCAGAATCTGCAATTTTGCTTATTTACGTACCCATTGAGGTGAAAATGAGCCTCATCAGAAAAGAGCACTTTGGCCGAAAATTCATCTTCTCTTTCCAACATCCAATTAACAAAAACACGCCACTGTTGATGGTTTGCCGGCTTCAATTCTTGTGTTAGTTGAATTTTGTATGGATGGAGGTGTAAATCAATGTGTAAAATCTGGCGTAAAGTGGTCTCACTAATTCCCAATTGTTGCGAACGGTGCCTAGTCGAGGTGGTTGGATCTTCTAGCACACATTCACTCACTGCGGCTATGTTTTCACGAGTACGAGCTGTAGAGCATGTTGGTATGATCTACGACCTTCAGCTAAATCAGTTTCCTCAAAACGATTAACAATCCAACGAATTCCAGGCACTGTAGGGCGTCCATGTCGGCCAAAACTAGTGCGAAGTTTGCGAAAAGTATTTTTTATATTTCGACCATTTTAGTAATAAGTTTGGATAACCAAAATGCGTTGCTGTATTGTAAACGAATCCATAACTATAAGTGGCATA